AAATTCTTAATATTTGTCCCTCTAATAATTACAACACAAACCATCATCCACAGACTTTTTATACATCAGTGAAATAATAGTACCGGTAGTTTTGTGGGTCAGGTGTGTCTTTAGTAATTTAATCGATGTTTAAATTTGAAATCTGTGACTAGTTTTAAATTAACTATATGAAATTCACAAATGAAAATACACTTTCATAATAACAACATGTGCCCACAGATTTCAGGAGCACTTGGAGTACTGACTGAATTTCCTGTGCTCACCTTTATGAAGAAGAGTAATATTTACTTCATGGTACCAATATTATTAGTGGTATCAGAAACTCAGTGAAGAAAAGAAAAGCCCTTTATGTATGACGGTATTGTTTCTGTGACATCCAAGAGGTATAGAAGCACCAGCATGATAAGGATCATCTTTCCTGTCTATTAGCAGAAGCAGTACACACTAACATAGTGAAACCCCTGAATTCACACAAACAAAATGGCGTAGGCTGGTGTGCTGGGCCTCCTTGCTGCTTTTGTGTGCATGTGCAAACAATTAAAAAAATTACATTAACCAGTAAATGCATTAAGCAAAGGAGAAACTGGGAGCAGTGTGTTCTACTTTGATGTTTGAAATATTAGCAGAATTACTATTGCTGTTTTAAATGACTCTTAGGTTCTGTTAAATATCATTGTTTTATTGACCTCTCTTGGGCTTAAATTCACCTTCTCAAAGAGCTTTTTGAAATTGCCATGCACAAATCACCGCTGATTTTCTGCAGAATAGTGACTGAGCAGATCACATCCAGAACTATGCTAGTTTACTTTATGTGGAGTGGACTTGAACCATTGCCACTGACCTCAGATAACTTTCAGTATTTCATACTCTTTTCCATTTCTTTGGAACACCAATAACTCCTGTATATCTTTTCATGTACAAGAAGAAATGAAGTAGGTGACAGTATAAGTTCTTATCCTCCAGGAGCACTTCAGTGAACACTTCGTATTTAACAGGAGCATATACTTGTGACTCTTGGGAGTTGCCTCCGCACTTCTGGTCTGTTGAAGAGTTCTGGGTCATGGCTGGTTTTCCTTTCCTTCCAGCTGACAAAGCAAAACTGCTCTAATGAATGTACTGCCTTCTCTTCCTGCCTTTGGGTGCACTGGTTTAAAGCGTGTGTCTTCCAGAGGCATAGCAATATGGTTTGGTGACAGCCATGGTGGTTTTGAGTCAGGTGGGCACCTATTCTGTTATGTACACCGTTCTGCTTTCATGTTTGGAGACTAGTATGTCAACCTGTTGCATCTATGAGTAGTGGCAGACTGTTTCCTTTGGGGCTTGCCTTTGCTGCTTTGTTTCCTTTACTGTTTTGTAAACAAAATTACGTGCTGTTTTGCAAAACCAGCCTATTCTCAGAATGTAGGATTCATCACAGGCTTTGTTTGTCCCTTACAAATGTCTTTCATTTTTCTCATGTACGAAACTTCTTTTTCTGAGAGTATTCAAAATCATACAGTTAATGCATTAACTAATCCTTTTAATTTTACATGTTTTATATTGTTGTCCAGTTGTTACGAATTGCACATAAACAACTTGAATATGATAATTGAAGCCTTTACTTTTCAGTTTTGCACGTCTAAAGTGGAGACTCCCACTTCAGTCTTTCTTCTTCTTCCAACAACATCTTTAGTTCCATTTTGGATTGGTGGGTTTTTATGGGTTTTTTTTTAATGGTCTGATTTTTTGGAGTGTCTTAAGTACACTACTTCCTTCCATGGATTGGAATCATGTTACTCCTATACCTCTACTGATTTCTTGTCCATATATATTCTAAAAATGTCACCCCTAATCATTCATGCATTTGATCTGCATCACATTGCGTCATTTATGCTTCATCATTAATTATTCATTTCTTATGTCAGTATTCTGTTTTTTAGCCATTTATGTCCTGATCCTTTTAAATCTCTAAGCTGATATGGAAGTTATATGCATCTTGTACTGGATTAACATCTCTTTTTCTAAATAAGTTCTGAATATGAACAAGTTTATCTCAGTTGTAGTATTGTCATTGGACATATACAATAACACTGTTCTTTTAAGCTTTTCTTTTATAAGAAATCTTAACTTGTTTATGGCAGGTACATGCAGCTCTAATATTTTATGTTTATAATCTGATTCTGAGCCCACTAATGACAGAAATTATTCAAAGCATTTTGAACAGCGAATACAATACGGTAAGGCAAACAGCAGTGAAAAATATCGGACAAAGTAGTCCAGGCTTATCTGATTCTTTTTGGTGAACCTGTAAGGTAACTTCAGTGAGAATGTATATAAAGTCACATATGCTTAATTACTGGAAGGCTATTGTTGAAAATCAGAGAATATTCAGTATTTTGTTGTGAATTTTATGGTGTTATTTTCCATTGTGAATGCTGGCAATAGTGTAATGATTGTGTGAAGATGTTAGCATTGCCAATATGTTGGAAGAAATATGTGTGGGAATAAGTTTGGAAAAACATTAGTGTAAAATTTTGTTACTTTAAAAGCATAAAAGATTTACTGCAAACATTATTTCAAAGATACTGGTTTTAATGTTTGTTTTCTAGAGATTGTCGAAACAGATTGAAGTATGTTTGAAGGTTTAGAAATCTAATGGAAGCATAATCCAAGTAGAATTTAATGTGATATTCCTTGTCATATGCATCACACTTTTTATAGCAGGCAGATGAAAACCAACATTTTCTTGACAGAGGTGACTAGATTATTTATGGATCTTGTGTTTCTACTTGCTGAAGTTAGATTATGATTCATCGCTTCTTAAAATGCAGTTACTAACTTGTATTCTTTTACACTTAGGGTAAAAAATTTTGTTGTTACCTTTTTTTCCAAATTGCATATCAGTTTTCAAGATGGCATTACTCTAACTGTACAAAGCACGCATTATTGTCTCTTCTTGCTTAAGCATGGAGACAATGAGGACCGTAACACTGCTTACATTGGCATGTACCTTTACATCTACTTCTTTTTAGTCTTTATGCAGCTGTATTCAGCAATGCCTGTGTGGCTTAAAATTGTCAAAATTTATAAGTGTACTTAGGACCAATGCCAGAGATTGAAAGTAGTGAAATTGTCAGTTACAGTGCTGATGTCTGATCAAATCCTTTTTTGTCTGGTTTTAAGTTACAATGACCTTGGGTTGTGTAACATGTAGTTGTCATGTAGCCCGTGTTGGACAAATACCTCTAATAGTACACCGATAAACTCAGTTACCTGTAATAAATCAGTTCTTTCAGATGTGGACACTTAGGTGTCTACTGTATGGCTTGTGGAAGGTAGAACTCCTCAGTTATGACTGTATTACAGAATGTATAGTAAATATTGAGATGTATTAAATAGAAGCTTTTACAGATTTTTATAAATTGTCTTTAAGGAAATGTGAAAGAAAACCTCAATGGTAAAAGAGGCACAAAGTAGAATATTGTTTTCCGTTCTGTTACAGTCCTTTCTACTATAGAGTTAACTCTTACCTAAAAAGAAAAAAAACTTCCCAAACAATATGCTGTTCACATGTGCAGATCAAAATATGCATTGGTAGAAAGGTATAGATACATTGAAGTGATGGGTTTATTTACAGTGGAACTATCTTTGAATATTAAAATATAGTTATATAAAGTAAACATATTTTAAATATTTAATTTAAATGGTTTAAAATAGAGACCAGTCTGAATTTGAAACTAGGATAAATCCCCTTCAAAGAGGACCCCAAACAGGATAAACATGATATGCCTAGCTTCTTTGCAATTGAATTTATGGTTGCTTGTGATTTTAAACTCCCTTAAGTTTTTTCCATCAGTTGGCTTTTACTTTTTCTGCAATGAACACGAGCTGCTTCAAAAACAGCTTGAAGACATCATAAGTAGGCAGTGTTGTTTTAAACGTAAGATAAATGATTTTCTAATGTGGTGATTTCCTGCAGAAAAACAAGCACTTAAAAGTTCATTTTGTTACTTTTTATTTTATTAGTGTCAATGTGTCAGACATTGTGGGTTAGTGGAATGGTCTCTGATGCTTTTAATTTCCTTTTGCATCCCTTCTAGTTTTCTTTCCTTGTTAAACAAGGAGGAGAGCGTTTGATATTGTCAGATTGTGAAGTTACTTAACATATGCAGGTTATAATGCTGCTATTTGAGAGATAAAAGCATTGTGACTGAAACTGAACTCAGTGAGTTGAGTTTAGTTACATACAGCTGCTTGTAAACCTTTGGTGTTTACAGTTAAGAGTCTATGGAAACCTCTTCCTCCTCACTGTTGATATTTAGACCTTTTGGCCAGCTGCAATACTGAAATAGTTTCCACTTTTTAAATATTTTCTGCTTCTGTTTTAATGATCTTTTATTTATTTTTTTTATTTTGATTGCTTTTTTTTATCTGATCCCTTGGCTTACAAAAAGAGCACTTCAAGTGCTCAAGGAATTTGCTATAATATACTGTTCATATCAGTATTCAGATTATGAATTTCAGCGTTGGGAAGTTTGTGCAAAGTTGGTAGGAGATCCACAGTTCTGGTGGCAGTCTTCTTTAGAATAAAGCTTCACACGCTTAGGTCAACAAATGTATTTATATTTACTTTTTAGTTAGGTCTGTAGGTTTATAACCAGAATCTGAAGCTATTGTTCTGACATCAGTCAGAATAATTGTCTTGCAGTGGTTCAGTAATTAATGCTTTAAATTATTTCCTGTGGTATGTTTTTGTTGTTGTTATGAATAATAGATAAATATCAAAACCATTATATTACTGTCCAATATTGAATTTTAAATATATTTTTCTTCCAGAGAACTAGAGGACGGAAACGAAGCTTTGTGCCTGAAGAAGAAAAACCTGAGGTTGGAATATAGTGTTTTGTTTCTTTGTTTTTTTAACAGTTTCACAAAAAAAATCAAACTTTGGGCTGAAGTGTTATTTTCAATGCTATAATTGAAATATTTGCTTTCCTTCCCTCCTTCTCCCCATTCCTTTCTTGCTTTCTGATACCACAGGAACGGATTCCTAGAGAAAGAAGACAAAGACAGTCTGTTTTACAAAAGAAACCCAAGTCAGAGGATTTAAGGACTGAATGTGCTACCTGCAAAGGGACTGGAGACAATGAAAATCTAGTCAGGTAGGTTTGTTGCTCTGACTTTAAGAAATTAAAGTTCCATCTTCATCACTTTGTCATTTTGATTATAACAAAGAAGATGTGCGTAAAAAACCCGAACAAAACCAAAACAAACAAAAATTTATTTAGGGGAAACATTGCATTAAAAATATTGACTTGATTCACTTATTAACCTGCCAGACACGTTTACACTGTGAATTAAGATGTAAATAACCAAGATAATCTGTTTTTCTAAAAGAAGAGAAATAATTTTCTCTTTTCAGGGTGAATTGTCAATGTTTCGGAGCAAGTCAGAAAGATAAACCAGTAATTTAATGACATTAAAGCTACAGGAGCATCCTAAAAGTAATTAAATTAGCATCATTAACAATTTTATGAGCTGAAATGTGGATTATGAGGGATGTATGTTTTTAAAAACGTATTAACATACATCCATTAATCATGCATATTATTAAAGTGTTTCATAATCATGTTTCTTATCTGAAACAGAAGTAAAAAAATCTGTTGAAAGGTTTTTTAGTAGGTGCAGAAATCTAATTAAAGTGTAGAATAGCTGCCATTGAATAGCTACTGTTGATCGCAACTTCTGCTGACTCTGACTTTATAGCTAGCATTGTCGCCTCTTTGTGAAGATGTAGAAATTGCTCACAATTCTTTAAAGAAGAATACTGGAGCTTAGCAACCAGAAAGTGTATTTCAATTGAATCTACTGAGCTTTCATTAAAATGATCTCATAATAAGTTCAGATAAAAATAGTGTTATAGTTCGGTCCCCTGTGCTTCAACTAGACTTGTCTGGATAAGACCTCCTCTTTAGCTCAAGTGGAACTGTTGTTTTTAACTGGAGGGATGATTCCAAAATACATCTTTTAATTTCTTTCAAGAGGGTTATGAGAAAAGTCAGTCAATGATACATGTAAGCAATAGCTTTGGAATCAGTATGTGTCCCAGATACAGACGTCTTGTACTCAGAACAGCTGATTTTAGTATCAATTACAGCCTGTGATTTACTGAAGAAATTGATAAAATGTCAAGGGTTGTATGCCATATTGTATTTTTATTTCCAAATTGGAGGCAGAGTGCCTGTAGAAGCTCATCAGTAACTGTATGACTCTCATATATAGACAACCTACTTCTGCTAGGTACTCCTAGATCCTGCTCAGTACTAGACTTTGAAATAGAGACAGGATGTTAGAGTGATTGCTGATACAGTTACACTCATGAGAACTGATGGCAGCAGTTTTTAACTGCCCATGACAAGATAAAGGGCTTTCTTCAGCCCCATGGTGCACGAAAAATGAAAGATGCAGGAAGACCTTTTCATTGTGGGAAGGAATCCTGGGAACACCATGTAGTGTGCTTCACTGTGAAAAAGCTAGTGAATTAGTTTTCTTCTTCTAGCTTTTTCTAGAAGTGTTAAATACCACATTTGAGGACATAAAGGGTAAAATGAGAAAATGCCATGGATAACTGTGTATTTAAGTTGCAGTTAAAGAATATGGTAGGAAATTAGTGGTATGTCTTGTTTGCTACGTGAAAATATTTTAGTAGCAATTTAGATGAGCTCAAAATAAGCATACTACATGCCACAGTCCAATAACTTCTCTTATAAGCCATCCTTAGAATTGGGCTTGGAAATAGATAGTAATCCTGCATGGGAAGAGAGAGGAAATTCTTATGTTCCAGTCCTTTTTTCATAATTCTCTGATTATTTTTTTTCTTAATCTGTCGTATTTTCCATATTAGGTTTTTTTAATTTAATTCCAGATGTAAATAAAGCTTGCTTTTCTTTAGGTAATTCCTATAAATACCTGCAATTTTATTCAGGTTATTTGACCACTGCTGTGCAGGCTTATTTTTGATAATTGCAAAATGGTGCTAAAGTACTTAGTAAATTTGAATTATTTTAGTATCTTTTTTTATAATCTTCATGGGCCTTCTAGCTTTTTCTGCTGTGTATTTCCTCTGTCAGGGCTGGTTACATGACTCTCGAACAATCTGCTTTTAAAAATTTTAGGTTTTTCTAAACTATATGTGGTGCTCTCACTTTGGGGTTGCTAACTGAATAAGAGGAAGTTAAGCAATGATTGAAAAAGTGTAGTGTATAATAATGAATGTAGGATAAAACCATAGATTGTTCAGTTATTACTGTTTGACTAATGGCGATTCACTTTTTTTAGACTCCATTTTAAATTCTTCTGTGTAGCATTGGATGGCTGAGGGATTATTTGTTCTATGTGAGGTGTGTTTACAGAACCTGTTTTTTCATATAGTTTTAAATCTTTAAATAATTCCTTGTGAGAGAGTTTGAAAGTCTTCCTAAAAAAGTACATTACTTCTGATGAATGATGATGGTTCCTTAGTTGGCTGAAGTTTGCCTTGGTGACTACAGTTTTGTACCCAAAAAATGGTTAAATTGAGAATACCTTAACTTTAGCTTTGCTAAAATATATTGACACGTTCCCTGCTAATATTTGCCATATGTGTATCTTATAGACATGCAAAGACAGTACTTCTCAGTCACTGATGTCAGATTATATAGATAGACTGCTTCAGTAGAGTATCATGCTCTAGAACTGAAAGTTTAGGTTTTGTGGTTTTGTCCACAAAAAAGTATCAGTCTTGTGATCCTTTTTGTGATACTTTTCAATTTTATATTTGTTTTTAGAATTCGCAGTTAATTTACTTTATAAATTCCTTTCTATACATCTGTGTAAGTTTTATTGAACTTAATACGTTTGAAATTTTTAACTTTTACGAGATTAGTGAATGGTAGTGTCAAGATTTACAAATGAGACGACCAGTGAAAAGTTAATTGAATAAACTTACTCAAATGAGGCGAATTCTGATCTGTATCACTCTAAATGACAGTAAGGAAGCTGTATCTGTAATTCAGGTCTGGATTTTGAATAACTTTTTACTCAAATGAACTCTAATTGAGTTTTGAGAGGAATAATAGCAAAATATGGAGGGGTTTTCATATTTTAAGTTTGATGCAGATAGATTTGATTTAAGGCATGGAGACACGACACTTCTTTTTTTTGATAAAAGAGATAAGTGTTCATTGAAAGGAGTCATAATATGTGCTTGAAATTAAAGTATTGTAGAGCCAGAGGGTACGTATAACAACGTACTGCTAGATCTTAAGGAGTAATCAGATATTGAAAATATTTGCTTGAGATTGAAGACCTCTTTTGAAACACAGGAGTTTCTAAAGCTTGATGTGAAAGATAAATTTTCTAATAAACTTGGAAAATAATTTTGAAGGATAAATTGTTTTTAGAGGTGATCTCCACTGTTTGGTTTAGAAAACGTTTAGGTAATGATGCTTTTCATTCTTTTTGTCAATCTTTAAGTTGTGTATAGTTTAGACATTTTATAGGTTTCCTGAGTGCTTTATTACTGTCTTGCATTTGCATGAGTCGCTAATAAATTAAGAAAATATCTCCCTTGTAGCTCCCTCTAGAACTTAACCATATTTAGTAGAAACTTGGATAAGGAAGCATATTTCAGGTGGCTCAATGTGAATAGTTCAGCTAGCTCTCCATCTTGCCCCATACTCCAGAGTAAGTGACAGAGTGACTGTACACAAGAAGTGGATCTAGCACAGTATTACTGTCTATTCCATTTTGCTAAAAGAAAAAAATCCGGATTAACTGGGTGTTTTATATTAATATGTAGAATAAGGTGGGTTTTTTTAAAGAAGCATACACAGTCTAATCTAGGTCAAAATCTCGCTAGGGAAGACTTTTGAATGGCTTCACTTTTTTAGAAGTGGCCATTTCCCAAAAAATAATCCAGCCCTCACAACTGCTGCTATTAAAAAGTATTATCCCTTCAGTCACTGGCTTTAAGACATCCCTGGGTAATATTTAGGAATATAGTGAATTATATAAAATTGATAATCTCAATACTAGATTTGAAAACAGCAGAATAAAATTAGAATATAGTTTACGTATGGGGCAAAATCATATTTGACCAGGTTAAAGATATCTCTGAAAAAGCACTGCATTTCTTCATCCCACAGTTTAAAGCACAAGTGTATTGTAATAAATTCTTGTATAGTTTCATGTATTGAATTTTTATGCTTCGTTGTCAGTTAAGTTAAAATGTCCTATTTTGATTGATCTATAGCAACTGAGGCAAAATTATTCAGCATTACAGAGAAGGTAAAAAATACTTAAGTCATGTATTTGAAAGAGTATAGAGAAAAATTTTTTTTAAAGATCTGAATGCTGCATATAAACTATTAAAAAATGTAAAGAAATTGTTAAGCATGTATGTTACTTTTAGGGCGCATGTTTACTAGGAAATAAGCTACATGTGGGAGTATTTGTTTTTCCCAATATACTTAGTTGTATGTTTCAAGCAATTGTAATACTCTCTGTATGCAGTGTCTCTCGTTCTATCAAGGCAAGCCTTAAGGGGGAAGGTGAAGAGTAGGAAGGGAAAAAGAAAAAAACATATGCAGTGTTATTATGTACTACAAAAAAAAAACCAAAACAACAAAACAAAACTCTCAAGTAAAATTGAGTCTTGGCATAACTTTGAGTCATCAAATCATACTATAACTGAAAATCTTTAAAATGTATGCAGCATTTGTAATTCTGGTACAACAAATGTATGTATCAAATTTAGGTTGATAATTTAGACTGTATAAAGGATTGAGTCCTTAGCTACAAAAAGTGATCTACTTTAATTCTGGCTTTGACAGAAAACGCGTTCTAATCAGGCTTTTCTGAATTCTCTGGAAATTTTCTCTCTGAAACTGAATCGCCATATTCCTCAGATGAGTTCGTCTTGTATAGGTTCATCTTTGCATTTGTATTTCTTATATTTCATTCAGAGGTGCATTTCACCCTTCAAGTTAAAGATTTCTTCCTTATCTGTTAGCTGCTAGTTTTGAAGCTCTGTGTGAGCTGAAGTTTATTCCAGAATGAGTGCATTAATTATGAATTACTTTAAATGCACTGCAACAAAGTTAACAATCCATCTTAGTAATTGAAAGCCCATGATTT